TCATGGATTGAAATAATTAACATAACTAAAATGTCCATACTACCCAAAGCAATTACAGATTCAGTATAATTGCTATTAAAATACCAATGATGTATTTCACAGATATAGAACAAATATTTCAAAAATTCATATGGAACCAAAAAAGACCCTGAATAGCCTTAGCAATCTTAAGGGGAAAAAAAACAAAGTAAGAGAGGTCATAAGACCTGATATCAAACAAGGCCACTGTAATCAAAACAGCCTGGTATTGGCATAAGAACAGACACATAGGTCAAGGGAACAAAATAGAGAACCCAGAAATAAACCCAAGTCTCTATGGTCAATTAATATTTGACCAAAAAAGGCATGAGCATACAATGGAGTAAAAATAGCCTCTTTAACAAATGGTGTTGTAAGATCTGAATAGCTACATGCAAAAAAGTGAAACTAGACAACCAACTTACACCACACACCAGAATAAACTCAAAGTGGATAAAAGACTTAAATATAAATTGTGATACCATAAAATCCTAGAGGAAAACATAGGCAGTAAAATTTCAGCTATCCCACATAGCAATATTTTTGCCAATATATCTCCTAGGGCAAGGGAAAGAAAGGGAAAATAAACAAATGGGACTACATCAAATTAAAAAGCTTCTGCATGGCTAAAGAAAACATTGGCAAAATGAAAAGGGAACCAACTATATGGGAAAATATATTTGCCAATTATTTCTTGGACAAGGGTTTGATCTCCAAAATATATAAAGAACTCATACAACTCAACACCAGGAAAAAAAAAAAAAACAACCCAAATAAAAAATGGGCAAAAGAGTTTCAGCCAAGATGGAGGTGTAGGTAGAAACCCTTTACCTCCTGCATAACCAAAAGGAGTACAACAACCAATCTAAAACCAATAAACAACCAAAAATGCCAGAAAATCAAACTGCATGGAACTCCAACAACCAAGGAATTATGAAAAAAATTAACCAGAACAACCAGACCAGTAAGGTGGACAAAACTGCAGCAAGATGGCTGGGGGGGTGGGGCTGACTGCTGAGCTCCACAGAGCTGCCCAGGAGGGGTTGACCTAAGGGGAAAACTGAGACTCAGAGCTAATTGTGGGCTAAGGCTGGGGTTGCCACAGTGAGAGATACCTCCAGTCTGACACCACAGTTTGTTGGAAAATGCACTACAGACAAGATGCATTGTTCCCTCTCTGGCCCCTTCCCCATAGGTGTTGTAGACCACTCCGCCTAATTTTAGGAATTGTATCTCTACCCCTTGTGGCTAAGGGCAAGAGACGACCTCTGGAATGCCACCTGCAGGAGACAAAGTCTGTCTCTGGTAGAAAACGCTGCCTCAGTTCCTCTCCCTGCCCCCAAAGCTTGGTCAGAAGTCAATGACAGGTAAGACCCCTCACAGCAGGGGGCAACCTAAGCCAGACTCAATCACTTGGGAGGCCTTCATGGAAGGACTCCATGGGCCACAACAAAGAGCAATGGACTCTTGACCCCTCCTCCCCCCCCCCTCCAGCTTTGACAAAGCCCTAGTCCCGGTGTTCTCTGGGAGAAGCACTTCCTGGCTCTAATCCCCTTAAGCCTGAATACCTGATGGGAGAGGTGCAGCTCCTTGCCTTGCTAGAGTGTGTCCTGAGGGAAAATCTGGCATCACAAAGACTTCCTGACAAACCTGTGAAATCTGCTCTGCTAAGAGTGCTTTCATTCATATGATAAAGGTCTGAGAGGAAATGAGTACTTCTCCCAAAGTTTCTGAAACTCCCTTCCTAACAGACTCTGACTCAGACTAAGCCCTCAGATTTCTTTGTAGTGTTATTTACTGTTTGATCCTTGCCGCCCTGTATTCCTGTGTATTACAACCCAATAAAAGGCTATGCAAGAGGGCACTCAGGGCCTTTTTCTCCTCGAGGAACTGGCCACTGCTCACCTTTGTCTCCCCTGAGAAACTGGCCACAGCCCACTCCTCCTCCCCCAAACAGATCCAGCATCTCACGGCCATACTTACTCATTCACGTGTGTCTGTGGCACCGGGGGTACTCTCGAGAGAAGTCACCCCCACACACAGGCAGCCCCTAAGTGGCAAAGAGGGTTGCCCTGCCTGGGTGAATACCTAAGGCCCCACCCCCTTACAACCTATGAGCTGCACCAAGACAAAGAAATATGGCCCAAATGAAAGAACAAAGCAAAGCCTCAGAACTAAGTGATGAGGAGATTGCCAACCTATCTGATGGAGAATTTAAAGCCCTGGTAATCAAAATGCTTACAGAACTGATTGGTCTTGGTCAAAAAGTGAAAGAACAAATGAAAGATACCGAAAATGAAATAAAGCAAAATATTCAGGGAACCAATAGTGACAAGAAGGAAACCAGGACTCAAAGCAACAATTTGGAACAAAAGGAAGAAATAAACATCTAACTGGCTCAGAATGAAGAAAGAGGAATCCAAAAAAATGGAGAGGGGCTGAGGATTCTCTGGGACAACCTGAAATGTTCTAATATCCGAATTATAGGGGTGCCAGAAGGAGAAGAACAACAGCAAGAAATTGAAAACTTCTTTGAACAAATAATGAAGAAAAACTTCCCCAGTCTGGTGAAGAAAATAAACTTCCAGGAGGCCCAAAGAGTCCCAAAGAAGATACAAAGAGGAACAAGCCAAGACATATCATCATTAAGTTACTCAAGATTAAATATAAAAAGAGAATCCTAAAAGCAGCAAGAGAGAAGGAGACAATTACCTACAAAGGAGTTCCCATAAGGCTATCAGCTGATTTCTCAAAAGAAACCTTACAGGCAAGAAGGGGCTGGAATGAAATGGAATGAAGGGGCTTGGAATTCCAAGTCATGAAAGGCAAGGATCTACATCCAAGGTTAGTCTATCCAGCAAAGCTTTCATTTAGAATGGAAGGGCAGATAAAGTGCTTCCTAGATAAGGTCAAGTTAAAGGAGTTCATCATCTCCAGGTAGCCCTTATTATAAGAAATGTTAAAGATACTTATCTAAGAAAAAGAAGATAGAAAACATGAACAATAAAATGACAAAAAAATCACAACTATTAACGAATGAACCTAAAATAAAAGAAAAACAAAAACTAAGCAAATGACTAGAAGAGGAACAGAATCAGAGAAATGGACATCACACAGAGGGAGGTCAGTGGGAAGACGGAGGGGAGGGATGTGGAGAAAAGTTACAGGGAAGAAGAAGCATAATTAGTAGGCATAAAATAGATGGGGAAAGATAAAAACAGTATAGGAAACAGATGGCTCAAAGAACCTATATGTACAACCCATGGGCATGAACTAAGGGGGGGTATAGATGCTGGAGGGTTGGGGGGTCAGGGTGGAGAGGGAATAAAGGGGGAAAATTGGGAAAACTGTAATAGCATAATCAATACAAAATACTTTAAAATGGGCAAAAGAGCTGAATACACTTCTTAAAGGAGGATATCCAGATGGCCCATAGACATAAGAAAAGATGCTCAACATCACTAGCCATCAGAGAGATGCAAATTAAAATCATGAAGATATATCACTGCACACCTGTCAGAATGACTATCATTAATACATAAACGGAGAATAATTGCTGGCAAGGATGTGGAAAAAAGGGAACCTTGTGCATTGTTGGTGAGAATGCAGACTGGTGCAGCCACTGTGGAAAACAGTATGGAATTTCCTCAAAATATTAAAAATGGAACTGCCTTTTGATCTAGTGATTCCACTGCTAGGAATATACCCTAAGAATACTGAAACACCAATTCGAAAGAACTTATGTACCCCTATGTTCATAGCTGCACTATTTACAATAGCCTAGTGCTGGAAACAGCCTAAGTGCCCATCAGTAAATGATCAGTAAATGGATCAAAGAGCTGTGGTACATTTACACAATGGAATACTACACAGCAGAAAGAAAGAAGGAACGCCTACCTTATGTGACAGCATGGATGGATCTGGAGAGCATTATGATAAGTGAAATAAGCAGGTCAGTGAAAGAAAAATACCATATGATCTCACTTATAAGAAGAATCAAATAAATAAAATAAAATAATGAGCAAAATAGACTCAGGGGCATGGAAACATGGAACAGACTAAAAGTGACTATTGATGGATGAATGACCCATGGATGTGGACAACAGTGTGAGAATTGACTGTGGGAGTGGGGTTGAGCTAGGCAGAGGAAAGCAAAGGGGGAGAAACTGGGACAACTCTAATAGAATAACAATAAAAAATTTAAAGAAAAAATACTGAAAATAACATGCTTAACTATACACTTAAAAACATTATTGTGCTATTGCTTTTCTCATAATATAATTAAAAGTGTAGAAAAATACTTCTTGCATGCATAACTGAGATACTGATAATTATATTCAAAGATCCACTCTCCTGTTTTCCTTGTAGCAACAGAATCCCACAAGTCTAAGCTGAGTTGATGGCCTCTGGGGAAGGACTACAGGAAGATGTGACTATGGACTGGGAGCCAAAGGAGGGTGAGCAGAAGGAAATGTGGGACTTGCAGGTCACATCCTTAAAAGAGAAAGTGCTCGCCCCTCACTTCCTCTTTTCCACCACACCCTCCCTTAGATTAGATAACAGAAATGCTGTGTCAGACATTTGGGCAACAACTCCCTAGAGAATGATAAAACAACAAGATGGAAGGAACTTGGCCCTCTGGAAAGGCTTTTGAAATAAACCCTCTCTGGATCTCTCACTTAGTTGTGGACTATTACATAAGATAGAAATAAACTAAATTGTTTGAGCAGTGTTATTTGGGGTCTCTTTGTTATAGCAGCTCAACTTATATCCTAATACACTATGTCTCCATCAAAGAGGAAAAAATTAATGATACACAAAGAGCTTGTATCATGTTTCAAGAAAAACTGGACAGAACACATTTCTTTGAGGAAGTAAAAACTAGCTCTACACCTAGCCCATTTCTCCAGCTTACCTGGCCTAAGTTTGCAATCCCTGAGCACTGAGAGGGGAACATATACAGATGGGTCTCAGGTACATACCTGCAGGCTGGAGATGGTGAAGGCAACATTCCGTGAATTCAGGTAGGCCAGGACTCTGTGGGACAGGTCTGACGTCCACATGTGGGAGCTTCCATCAAAGACAGGTGGGAGAAGGTCATGATGATAGTTTCCCTATGATGAGTAGTTCTCCTACCAACTCAGTGATCAGGGGACCATAGTTCACAGAAGATGGTGGGATATGGCTGGGGATGCTAGAAACTTTATGTGTGAAGGTAGGAGACTTGTTAATCTGGCACAATGGGTAGGCAGTGAGGGGATTTTCCAATTCTAGAAATCCACCTGGATCCCATTCTCCCAAGAACAATTATCAATCTCTGAGCTTTGTGCAACTTTATAATTCCCATAATAATCAACTTAAATCAACTACAATCAAACAGGTGAATTTAGAAAGGTGTCTTTACTAAATTAAGTCTAAAAAGTATATGCTGCCCTGGCTGGTGTGGCTCAGTGGACTGAGGGCTGGCCTGTGAACCAGAAAGGTCACCTGTTCAATTCCCAGCAGGGCACATGCCTGGGTTACAGGCCAGGTCCCTGGTTGGGGGTGTGTAAGAGGTATCCAGTCAACATTTCTCACACCAATGTTTCTCTTCTCTCTTTCTCCCTCCCCTCAAATAAATAAATAAAATCTTATAAAAAAAATAATAAAAATAAATAAAAGCAGATGCTGTGTGAACTGTGAGATGCTGGAATAGCACTGTGAAGAGGAGGGGTTCAAAACCTGGGCTTGAATGTTGGCTCAATCACTTAATTTGGTGGCCTTCTATAATTTATTGAATTGTCATGTGCTTCAATTTGCCTTTCTATGTTATACAGCTAACGATTGTGAGAATTCAATATGCTCACCCATGTAAAGTGCTTAAAGCAGTGCCCAATGCATAGAAAATGCACAGTTTGATTCATAATAGCCAAAAAATTGAAAACAAATAAAACATCTAACAGGTGAAATGTTCAACAAATATGGTACACCCATTCAATGGACTACCACTTGTCAGTAAAAAAAGGGGTGAGTCAGGTGTTTGCTTCCAGATGTAGTAGAATAACTGACGATAAAACCTCCTGCCATAAGCCATTAGAAGTCCTTTTACAATCCCATTTTTGTTATAAGTAGAATAATGAATAAATATTTAGTCTGAAAGAATATATACAAAACTATCAACTGGAGTTATTTTGGGGAGAGGAGTTTTATGGGGATCTATCACTCTAGCATAATTGGGTGCCCCTGTCATGAGACCCAAGGCCTCTATTTCTTCTCCTTCAGAATACTCATCATGTTAGAACCATCTGCTAACATCTGTCTTCCCACCAGACCCTCCAGGGCCCTGCCTCATGCCCCGGTTTTTAACACTGGCCCACTTGCAGTACATAACAAAACCGGGTGAAGGCAACAGACTGCAGAGCTCGGTTACTGGGTACACACTGCAATGCCACCACTTCCCTGCTATATGACCTTGATTCACCCTCTTGGGGTTCAGTGTCATCATTCTGTCTAATGGGATAAGAATAGGATCAACCCCAGGATACCTGCAAGAATTAGATGTCTTTCTATGCATAAAGCACTTAGAACAGTACTTTCTACACAGTAAACACTCAGTAAATGTTAGCATTCCTATGCTATAGCAGAGAGGAATGAAAGTCTGTGGAACAAATGTGTCTACTTGACAAAAGCCACTTGTGCTGTGATTGACATTTTTGTATAAGCATGTATTGCTTTTTACAATTAAGAGACTTTCATTAAGAGTTTTTATTAAATATCTATTCCATCCCATCTCCTCCCCTCTAGGGCCAGTTACCTTTGAAATTGTATGAGATCCAGTAATGCTACAATGGAAATAAAATGAAAAGACAGTTTAAAAAGAAATCACTCCAGAGAGATCACAGTTACATTCTGTGTGAAATTTTTAGAAGCAGCAAGTAGGAACAGAGTGGGGACATTACCCATCAGATAGTTTCCATCTATTATTTCTTCCTAAAAGGCAAAGAGAAAATATCAAGCATAAAATCCAAAAAATGGCTGTCCCAGTAGAAAAGGTTTGGGTTTTTTTAAAAAATGAAATACTCACTGCCATTTTTTGCAACAATGGATGCAAATCTGTAAGAAAGCCAATGAATGTATAACTAGAATTATGTGACCTTCAAAGATACAAATGTGGGTTAGGAAAAAGAATCCCCCTAAAAAGTCAGTGATGAAGAAAAATTTTGGTGGGTTTTAATTATACCTGCACCTACCTGTGCTTAATGTGAGAAACCTTGTTTTGAAAACCCTTTTAAAATAATTGTGAAAACCCTACATGCATGTGCTCACACATGCACCCATGTACACACACTCTCTCCAAAGTACTTTACCATAGCACATTACAAACCTAAATTGATCCATCCCCACTCAATCCCCTAAGATGTATGGAAACCATGACAGACTTTTCCTCCCTCAAAACTTACCCTGCCTGGAATTTGGAACTCTGAGACTTGCCACTCCATAGCTCAGAAAAAGGAATAGGAGAAGAGCGTATGTCCTAGGTTCCTGAGACATCCTCCTGTGGTTAATTCAAGCATAGAAATAATTAAGGTTTGAGTTCTTAGATATATTTAAGAACATTCAGAAGACAAGAGGGAAAGACAAACAGACCCAGAATCCCTAGTAATTTTTAAAAATAACTTTAAAATTCCATCTACTTTGCTCTATCAAACCCCTATCCTAGTCTAAGACATAATCATCTCTCTCCTATTTCAATTCTTTCCCTCTCCTCCATTCCCCTCAATCAAGCAAAGAGGAGTGCTTAAAAGCATGGGTTCTGTTACATCAGACAAGGGATTTATATCCAGAATTTAAAAAGAACTCTTCCAATTCAGTGAGAAGAAGATAAGCCAGTGGGGGAAATGGAGAAAACTTAAACTTCATTTTGAAAAATACAAATGACCAATAAACACATAAAAGATTATCAACATAATTAGTTACTGGAACATGAAAATTTGACCAACAATGGAGTACCACTATCTACCCACTAGAATGACTAAAGGTTTAAAAGACTGATAATGCCAAGTATTGGTGGTAATGTAGAGCAACAAGAACTCTTACACACATTGCTGATATGTTATGTTGGAGAACTGTTTGGCAATGTCTTAAAAGTTAAATATACAATACTTTACGACCCAGGAATTCAAACCCTACATATTTACTAAAGAGAAGTTGAAACATATGTCCATACAAATACTTGTCCAGTTTCATTCATCAGAGCCAAAAACTGGAAACAACTCAAATGTCCAACAACAGGTGAAAGATTAAATAAATGTGGCATATCCATTCATGAAATACCATGCATCAGTAAAAAAGAAACGAGTTGAACTTATGCTTTCAGCTATGATGGGGTCATTGGCAGTAAATAAAACCTCCTACTTTGAATAATTAGAAAACCAACCAAAACATACGAACAAAGATTTTTAGAAATTGGACCATAGGTAGCATAAGACTGAGATTCCTGAGAGAAGGGAAACTGTGAGATAATAAAAAATATAGATCAGTCTCTGTCCCTGGTTCCTGCACAGGGCTCCTAAAATCCTTGTAATTTCCTGAGTGATGTGAGCACTGGGAGCACCTTTTGTTCTATTAAGATGACTTTGGGTGGGCTTCTGGATGGGAGATGGTCACCACGAACCCCAAGCCATGATTGAAAGCTTGGAATTTTCCCCCCTACTCCTGATCCTCCAGAGAGGGGAAGAGGGCTGGAAATGGGAGTTAATAATTGATCGTGCCCATATGAGGAAGATCCCAGTAGTAAGTGGTTTAGAGAGCTTCTGAGTGGCAGATGCACACCCACTAGGAGGATGATGCACCACAACTCCACATGACAAAAGTTCTTGTACTCAGGACTCTCCCATACCTCACCCCGGATATCTCTTTGTTTGGCTGTTCATGTGTGTGATTTATCATCTCATTTAATAAAGTGGTAAGCATAATTATTTCCCTGAGCTTTGTGACATGCTCTAGAAAATTAATCAAAACTGAGGAGCGGGTTGTAGGAACATGCAATCTACAACCCAATCAGACAGAAGTTGTGAGTAACCTGGGGACTTTCTGCTTGCAATTCGTATATGAAATAGGGTAAAAGAAGTGTGTGGGACTAAACCCTTAACCTGTGGGGTCTGACATTATTTCCAGATAGAGAGTGTCATGATTTAGTTAAATTGTAGGATGCCCACTGGCATCACTGAATTGCTTGGTATGGGGAAAAACCTTCACATATTTGGTGACCAGAAGTGAAGTACTCTGTGTGGAGTATTTTGTGTTGAGTGGTAAAAAACTCACAGGAAAGAGAACAAAGAAGGAGGTGGGGAGCTGTGTTTTTCCCTACTTAGGAGGGAAACAAAACTGAGCTCTACAAGTTCTCCTACTCACTACCTGGAGTCTACAGACCCCAGCACAAGGAGAGCCTGTAGGTCTCATCAAATTGAGGAAACAACTGGAGGGAAAAAAGTTACAGAGAGAGAGCTCTGGAGATTTTCAGAAGGGTCCCTTTAATCTTTGGCTAATATTTGTCTTTCTATGCCTATACATGTGACAAACCACCTGAGACTTCAGCAGAACACAACCATGAGTAAGTAGAACAATTCTTCAAGCTCACACAGGGCAGAGAATAACTTGTACTAGCTGGAGTTGGAAAATCTCCAACTATGTGGGGTTTTAAGGAAAGCAAGCCTTGAAAGGATTAAACTGATTCCAATTAACTAGATTACATTCCAGAAAAAAAAGCCCAACAATGTTTAAAGAAGATCAGAAAAGCCAGCAACCAGCAATGTAAATATCCAAAACAGCCATAATTCAATCAAAAATTACCAGGCAAAGAAGCAGGAAAATATGGGTGATTATCCCAAGAAAAAGTCAATCAACAAAAACAGATCCAGAAATGACACAGAAGATCAAATTAGCAGACAAGGATGGCTATTATAAATATACTCTGTAGGTTCAAGAAGGTAGAAAAAGTATAAACATGTTAAGGAGAATAATAGAAGATGCACAAAGAGCTCAAATGGAATTTCTAGAGATGAAAAATACAATATCTGAAATGATACATACACCAGGAAGGATTAGTAGCAGATTAGACACTGCAGATGGAAAGATAGATGAATTTTAAATCATAGCAGTAGGAAATATCCAAATTAAACACAGGTGAAAAAAAAAGACCTTTCCAACGTTTAAGAGAGCTATGGACAATATGGAACATCTAAAATGTATGTAATTAGAGTCACAAGAAAAAAGAAAGTGGCAAGACAAATATTTAAAGAAACAATGACCAAAAAATCTTTTCAAGTTTCATAAAACTATAAACCCACAAATCCAAGAAGACCAACAAACCCCTAGCAAAAGAAACATGAAGAAAACCACACTAAAGTACATCATAATCAAACCACAAAAAAAAAAAAATCAGCCCTGGCTGGTGTAGCTTGGTGGATTGAGTGTGAGCTACAAACCAAAGGGTCACCACTTCAATTCCCAATCAGGGCACATGCCTTGGTTGCTGGCCAGGTCCCCAGTATGGGGTGTGTGAGAAGCAACCACACACTTGATATTTCTCTCCCTCTCTCTCCTTCTCTTCCCCTCTCCTTAAAAATGAATAAATAAAATCTTTAAAAAACAAACAAAGAGTTGAATCTAGAATACATAAAAACCTCTCAAAACTGAACAGTGTGAAATATCAATAAACAGTCTAATTAGAAAACAGAGAAAAGATGTAAGCAAACACTTTACCAATAGTGGATATACAGGTGACAAATAAGAACATGAAAAGATATCCAACATCATACCCTGGCTGGTGTAGCTCAGTGGATTGAGCACAGGCCTGCGAACCAATCATGGTTTGATTCCCAGCTAGGGCACATCCCTGGGTTGCAGGCCAGTTCCCAGCAGGGGATGCACAAGAGGCAACCATACATTGATATTTCTCTCCCTCTCTCCTTTCCTTCCCCTTTAAAGATAAATAAATTTTTAAAAAAGATATCTAACATCATTAGCCATTAGGGAAATGAACATTAAAACCACAATATCATTATAGATCTATCAGGTGGCAAAAAATGTTTTAAAGTGATAATGCTAAATGCTGGAAAGGATGCAAAGAAACTAACTCACTCATACATTGCTGGTGAGAAAATAAAATAGTGCAGATATTCTGGAAAATAGTTTATAAGTTTCTTATAAAACTAAACATGCCTTTAACATATAGCCTTGCAACTTCATTCTTGGAAACTTATCCCAGAGAAATAAAAATTTAGGTTCACGTAAAAACCTATACATGAATGTTTATAGTGGCTTTATTTATCACAGTCAAAAACTAGAATAAATTTACATGCCCTTCAACTTGTGAATGATTAAACAGATTGTAGTATGTCCACATCATTCAATACTACTCAGAAATAAAAAGAACAAACTATGGATATGCAGTGATTTGAATGGACCTTAAGGGAGTTAGGCTGAGTGGGAAAAAAAAGCCAGTCATGAAGGTTACATACTGTGAAATTATAGGATTGAAAACAGATTAGTGTTTGCCATAGGGAGAGGAAAGTGTGGTTATTAAGGGTGCCAAAGGAGCCTTGTGGTCATGGTAAAATCGTAAAAACTAAACAAAAATATACACAAGAATAGTACATATAAAATAGGTAAAATCTGAAAAAACTCTGGATTAGATTATGTAAATGTCAATTTCCTGGTTTTGATACTGTACCATAGTTATGTAGTATGTAACCATTGGGGGAAAATGGGTAAAGAGGACACAAGGAGCTTTTTTTTTTCCTTTTGCAACTTTCTATGAATATAATAAAACACCCAAAGAAAAATGTCACATTATGTACATAGGAAAAAGAGTAAACTGATTTATGCAAAAATATAGATGAACCTAAAAATATTATGCCAAACAAAAGCCAATCCAAAAAAGTATATATTGCATGATTCCATTTATATGAAACTTTAGGACATACAAAATAATCTACTGTGACAGAAAATAAATCAGGAGTTAACTGGTACACAGTGGAGTACAGTGGGAGAAGTTTATTGCAAAAGAGTACAAGGAAACTGTACAGCATGAAATTTCTTTATCTTTATTATGACAGTTGCTATACAGTTACATACATACATTTATTGAATCTTGAATCCTACACTGTAAGTAGATGTATTTTACTTCAATGTAAATTATACTGCACAAAAGTTGATTTCAAAAGAGAAAGGAAAAGCATGGACCATATGGTCAGACTGCCTGGTTTGAATCCCATCTCTACCACTTACTAGCTGTGTGATGTTGCACAACTTACTTCATCTTTCTGGGTTTCTGCTCCCTCATCTGTAAGATGGAGTAAATAATGATAACATCATCTTGTTATCTGAGGAAGAGTTAATAGTAAATCACCTAAAGTAATGCTTGGCACACTAAAGCTCTATATATCGGTTTATTATATATTTTTAAAGTCAGACTGATATTTTCAAAATTGAAATCATGGAATGTCTGCAGAAAGAATGTTCTAGAAAAAGATAAGATTAGGTAATTT